GGCCCCGGCGGCCAGCAACACGTATTTAGCGTGAAAGCGAGCGCCGCGGTCGGCGCTGGCTCCGTACAAGCTCTGACGCGGCCCGTCTGCCTTCTCCCTCCGCAGCCTGGGGCTGGTTCTGCCTCCCTACAGCACCTACTACATCCAGGCCAACCTCAGCGACCAGATCCTCCAAGTGAAGTGTAAGTAGCCCCTTCCTTTTCCTCTTGCCCTTTCTCACATCCTTTCACCCTGAAACCACCCCCCCCCCCACCACGAGCTGGCACTGAGAAATGACTGTCGGGGTCAAAAAATAAAGCAAAGCTTGCGCTATGAGAAGAAAACAGGAGTAACCATTAGAGGACAGAATAAGAGCTGACGGGAGATGGAGGCGCACGTCTTAAAAGGAAGCGGTGAGCTGTGATGCTGGGGCTGCCCCCCGCCCCGGGGTGCCAGGGTTTAAATCGGTACGCTTGGCCTCCAAAAACCCCAAGCCCCGAGGCTAGAGCCAGGTGTTTGCCGAAGAGCCAAGGCGAGCCAGCCGGCCCAGAGGAGCCAGGCTGCAGCGCTGCGTACTCGCTTTTGGGGGACTAGCCGATAATTCTGTAGCAGCCAGTGAATTTGAAAGCCTGTGAAAGTTTGCATGGATCTTTTCAGTTCTTTTCTTTATTAGTAGCAGTATTGCGATTCTTTTGGGGTTTTTGTTCGTTTGTTTGTTTTGAGCCACTGTTATTTTTATGGTTTGAGTTTTGGTTGGTTTCTGGTTTTGATTTCGTTTCTGATTAATCTGTGTACTTGTGTGTTAGCCTGGCCCCCCGCCTCCCTCTTTCTCTCTCCCTCCCTCGCCCTTCCCGAAGCCTTTTCTCCCGCCACGGGACACGCTGCTCCCGAGGACCTTGTCCTGCGGGGGACCCTTTCTCCTGTCCTCCCCCTTAGATCCCCTCCCAGCTCCCTCTCCTTGGTGGCCCTTGTCTGCGGCAACTTTTTGCATGCCCTGCTAACTCAGTGAGAACATTTCTATATCAAGACTGTTGCAAGTGTTTGCTACTGACGCTCATTTTCCTTTCGAGTATTGGATGTATAGCTATATATTTCTCTAGTTATATCTTTGCATTTTTGTTATTACTTCACTGTGGCCTTTTATTTCTTTACTGGTGTTTCTTTCCTTTTCTTTTTTTCTTTTTCATGTTGTTCTTTGCAAGAGGTTTCCTTTTGGTATGATTATGAAACACAATATTTTTATTCAAACAGCGATTGAATAAAATATTGTCTGTACCCCCTTCCCCCTTTCCACCCAACCCCCTTTTTTTTTGTTTGTTGTTTTTTTGTTTGTTGTTTTTCTTGCTTTCTCTCTATGGTGGATTCACACAGTACCAAACATCAAAATGAAGGGCAAGTATTTTCAGTCTTAGACCACTAACCCTCACCACCCCGTCCCCTGCCCCGTGTCCAGTCCCTCCACCCAGCCCTGCCCCCCCCTCCCCCCAGCCTGCTTGCCCATCTCCCTGCCCGTTTGCCACGCCGAACCTGCAAACCGCCACCGAACTCTCCCTCCCTCCCTTCCTCCTCCTCCTCCTCCTCCACTCCTCCAGCTCACCCTTTATTTGGAAGCAACATGTCTTGTTACGTTCATGAGAGCTTTATCACGACTACTCCCCCACTCCCTTCCTGCACATCGCTCAGAAATCCGATCTGATATCGTTTCAAGAGCCAATCTCATACGAAACTGTTGCGTTTTTTGGATCGACAAGGTTTTTCGTAGCTAGTCTGATTATCCTGCTCTTCCTTCGCCAAACCCTGTTCTTGTTCTTCTCTTCCCTCTCTCGCTCCCGCCCTCCCACCCCCTCCTTGCTCCTCTGCTTCCTCCCTCCTAAGACAACTCAACCTGAAAGGGATAGGGCTGTGCAGGGAGGGCAG